TTCAATTCTCAATTCTATTGCGGTGGAAAAATCAAGGTTTTGCTCTACATTCGTGCAGCTGAGTTACATTAGTCCAAAATTGTTCGGGGAGTTCTCCAGAGAAAACTTCTGAAATCAAGCTGTTAAACTGGAATAACTGCCCTTTGCTGATGTGAACGTGAAAGAGAATGAAAGAGAAATAAGAACATCCATACTGGAAAACCACAATCAACACCAGAAAGAGGAAAAACTGGTTTACATTTTGGACTTGAAAGGTCAGGTCAAAACCATTTCTCTTTCTCTTTATGGGATGCTATTGAACGGCTGCGGATTTCCGGCGAGTCTGTTTTTATTTCATATTTTCCGACATCTGTGTTTTTCTTATGAATTGAATTACACACACACACAACACCACACACACACAGGTTCCAAGATAAAGAAACCAGATCAATAACCGACACGTTTTAAAGTCGGGTAATAAAACCACCATGCAGCTTTTACATTGTCAATATAGCCTCAGAGTTAATCAAAACAAGCTCCTGAAGATACTCTGGAGTTCTCAGGCATTATTTCCAACTACGTCGACATGCTTTGGAAGTTATTTGTACGTGGAAAAGACACAGAATATCCTCCTTGGGGAGGTAAGACAAGCCTGGTAATAGAGTGTTGGAATCGAACCCCCACCCCCTGCCCACCCCTCTGTGAGTGTGATCTCCAGTCGGGTTTCTGAGCCAGATGGGTCTGCAGTATTCCAGGGCACTGCTGATGACAGCACAGCACAGCCTGGCTCATCGGCAGGACCAGGAAGGGCAGACCAGTCGCTGGGGGCAGGGAGTCCTCCCACTCAGCTCCTGTTAACCCTGCAAGCCAAAGCCCTATGATACAGACGGGAGATCCCTTGTTGTCCTGACCTGGAGAACCCTCGATAATTTCCGGAGCTTCAGTTGCTTTTCTAGCAATGCCCACGTCTTTTCTTTGTCTGCCGTTCCCTTGCCCCTTCACTGTTTTACGATTTCTTTGAATACCTTTCCAATTTACCTACGTTTCTAGTCGAAATAACCATCGAGCGAATCACCACATGGGTCCAGCAAACAGTTAACTTAAAACGAGTTATACGAAACTACAGATAGTGCACAGAACTGACAGGTTCGTGAACTGTAGCAGTCGGAACATGTACCATTAAGAATGAATCCTGAGGCAGGCTGATGGCATGGTGCACTCAGGTGATTTACCACAAAATGATAGGGCACAGCTCACCACACTGAAAATTCGCAAGCGGTTTGAACAGATAGGTAGAGCAGATGTTAGATGGGTGCGTCATCACGAGGAGGGAAGAGTGGGAAGCTACTTTTACTCTTCCACGTCACAACCAGCTGCCCGCGATTGCTGTACGCAATTGGCTGCTGCGTTACAAAATATACAATCAATTCACTTTAAGGTGTATTCTGTGAAGCGTTGTGTGACATCTCAGCCGTGATAAGGCGCTGTATCAAATGCAAGGATTATTATTATTATCTATTATTATTATTATTATAGTGAAGTTCAGTCAGAGATTTAGGTAAATGGGAGTCTTGCAGTCCTATTAAGGATCATGCATTTTGTGTTGGGGAAGCAAGGACACACAAACACAGATACACACAGACGCGTGGCATATGTTAAGACATATGTCCTGTGGAATTTTCGAGGCAAGGAACATCGACAATTTTAGCTTAAAGGAAAACGTCAGGCTGCAAGCAGCCTCTAATTAACACTGACAGCACTCCTCTACCACCGAATGCTTGGCAATAATTCAGTTTCATCATTCCACCGACAACGGGGAGAAAACTGAAGCACCGGGGGCACTTTCCACTTGCTGACGACCATCAGCAGCTTTTGCCCATCGGATCATGAAGGTGTTTATTAAGAGCCTGGGGGTTTCCTTTAAGATAGCCAAATAATGGCCACATCGCACCATAGATTTATTCTTTCTGCGGTGTGGTATCGTATCAGTGTAGATTTCACCTCCAGGGAAAGGATTTCACTTAAATCTCAAAATGCAAATGCCCCTTGCTTGTAGACGTGAGCTTGTAGCCTTGGCAGAGAAGTTGTCAAAACAGACAGTTTCTTTGTATTTAAATGCGCATCTTCATCAAAGCCAATTCCCAATGGTGAAAAGAGACAGGAGGTTTAATCTATGCATTGGGCGGTACAGGCATTGAAACCACTGCCCACACTTCTTTCAGGCCCTTGGTTCAAATCCAGCAAAGGCAAACGAGAAGCAAAATTCTCTCTCCGCTCACTGTAAATGCCCTGAATGAAATGGGAAGTAAAAGCCGTCACAATTCTATTTGACCAAGTTCACAATTTTCCACTGTATCATCAATCTCACTCAGAACAAAGACAACGCTGGTTGATATGGAAAATGAACACACTGTCATAGTGTGCGTAGTGCTGGTGGGGGGGGTTGGGGGGGGAGCCTGAGGAAATATGAGACAGAGTGCTTGTTTGAGCCATTGTATAAGGAGCTATGCTTCGTATTTACTTATTCTTTGCGGTTTCCTGCAAATCAAATTCCCGCCGGCTAGACGGGCAGTGTTGGGTAATATAATTGGTTCGAATGGCATTGGATTAGGAAAGTCAAAATCAATCAAGTGTTCCTCCTCCTCCTTCTTGCTCCTGATCGCAGATCAGTGACTCCTGATCGAAGGTGCATGTGTAAATATCAGGTGAGACCAGCATCAGGTTCTGTTATGTATGGGTCCTCCCATTCCTGGTCAAAGCCAAAATTCACTGAGAGGTACTGGAGTGGATACTGAAATGCTGTACTCTGTCCAGCGCTTTGGGATGTCCTCGCGACGTGAAAGGCGCTATACAAATGTAATCGTGTTGTTTTTGTTGTTGGTACTGACACCTTGAAATTATATCCCAGCCGATAGTAAAGAAAGGAATCAAATGCTTTTAGAAAAAAATGTGATTGGGGAAATAAAAACAAAGTAGCAGACATATCAGCAGGCACTTAATAATAATAATAATAATCCTTGCATTTGATATAGCGCTTTTCATGTCAGGAGGACATCCCAAAGCGCTTCACAGAACACACTGTAAAGTGAATTGACTGTATATTTGTGGGCGAACGCAGCAGCCAATTGCGCACAGCAATGTCCCACAAACAGTCGTAGATTGAAAATGACCAATTTATTATTGTTTTGGTTTTGGAGGGATTATTATTAGGCTCTGTGTGGAGTAAGGAAACTTGCCCAAGGTTTCGCCCTCTGCCTGGAATTGAACTCAGGTCTCTCACTTGCAAAGCGAGTGCTCTAACCACTGAGCTACAGGACTCCACTTTGACACAGTAAATAAGTCACTGCGATGATAATAATCCTTACATTTGATATCACATCTTTGAGATATCTCAAAGCGCTTCACAGAATATACTGCAAAGTGAATGGACTGTATATTTTGTGTGCGCTGTTGAGAATTGGGCCAGAAGAAGCAATATCAAAAGAATGTCAAAATGTGAACTCTTTTCTTATGTGTCAACATGACTTTGTTGGTAGCAAGCTTGTTTATGAGTCAGAAGGTTGTAGGTTCAAACCCCACATCTTCATTAAGATTACCATCTGAGTTTATACTTCAGTCCCGTACTGGGGAGAATTATTTTGTCAGAGGTACCGTCCTTCATTTGAGATGTTAAACAGAGGTCTGTTCGGGTGATATTAATGAGAGGATTATTCAAAAAGACCAGAAATTCTCATTTTGTGCTCGTTAATAATCCACCAGATAAACTGGTCTTTCATCGCACGAATGTGGTCCGATCCTTTTTTCACATTACTTTGGAAGAACTGAATGAAAGAGTGATTCAAGTACCTGTTAGGATTTTGAGCGTTAACCTCAGCAAATTTTAACCAACCGAAAATGTCAGTTTGCAAGAGATTGCTGTAAGAAAATTGTTTGTCGACAAATACTGAGTCAGTACACTTAACAGGCGTTCCCCATGAATTCCCTGCAACAATTTGTCGTTACTGGCGCTATGTCAAATGCAAGGGTTATTATCACTTTTCTAGGAAAAATCCTGAAAGTGCCAAACCTCAGCTAGCGGTTATCTACTCAGTAGAACAGGCCTGAACTTTGGAGGTGGCTGAGTAATTCTGTAAAACAAAGAGTGTGGTTTCCCTGAGGCGCAAGGTGTTCTTGGAATGGAAAAATACAAGGATGGGGATAGTCAACGTCAAAGAGCCTGAACCACTTAAAAATCTAGCACTCAAGAGTAGGTAACGAGGACAGCATACCCAAGGGTTTCGCTTGCAATTTGCAGCATTACCATAGCATCACGGGCATATTTGAGCTACAAGAGACTTGAACTAAACGGTCAAAAACAAAGCAACTGAAAAGCCCTCAGACAAGGATCTTCTCCTGGGCGACTCATGAAATTGTAAAGAGTTTGATAAAGAAGGATGAGCACCAGCACATTTCCGTGTAAACCTTTTTCAGAAAAGATTCAGAACAGTTGCAATCCTCTTGGAGGTTGAGGGGCATCTATTCCAGGACATTTTCCCCACTAGTGTTGTTGGCTCCTTTATTCGCATTACAGTACATTGGAAGAAATGAATAAAAGAGCAATTCAACTAACTATCTGTTAGGATTTTGAGCATTAAGTTAAGAGAATTTTCCATCATTCCATGCTATCAAAGTTTAATGGTTTTAAGGCTGACACCATGAGAATTTTTGGGAGTCAGTTACGACAGATATCTGAAATGAACGATGCACATTTTTCCTCACTATAATCTAATGAACATAGAGCTCTATTAAATTACAATCGGAACATAATTCCTTTATTTTTTGATCAAGACCTCTGCTGAAAACACCTTTGATCAATCAGAATAACCGAATAGCTCAGTTCATGACACTGCTTTTGACCACATGAAATAAGGACAAATTTCATAGCTGCTACTTATTTTAAGGTAATTTAGGATAATCAAATGTCACCGTGGACATTTTACCCACACACACCAATATGATCTCCTTGAAAAAGCACACCTTACCTGCCATCATCTTCTGTGCCTCATAAGGCTCCATGTATCCATTATTTTCAAACTCTTGCTTTTTGGTAGTTTTATTCTTTAACTCGTTTTGGACGTCGAAAGGGTCTGCGTAATCATCCCTGATAGCAACCTGAAAAAGTAAAAATGTGTTTCATTTTACTCTTTTATTTGTAAACATGATCAACACATGAAAAACGTTGGAAATGTCAGATCACAGGCTTTTTGGAAAAAGCCCTATCTCCTGATCAACGAGTTGTGATTAGAAATGATTAAAAAAGATTAAAAATGCAATGTTGGGTTTAATCACAAGAGTAATGGTATATATTAACAAGGAAACCCTGCTCCAATTTTACAGCAGATTGATCACAACTCATATGGAATACTATGTTTAGTTTTGGGGGTTCACCTGTGGATGGGTATAGTGGCCTTGGAGAAAATCCAACGTCTATTCAGCAGATGATACCTGGGATTAAATAATTTACCCATGAGAAGCCTAATAAATTGGAGTTAAATTAATATATTCGGGTGGTTGAGGGGTAATCTGATGTGGGGAATCCAGGACAAGAGATCAAACTTTAATATTAGATATCAAATGGCGAATATAGAAAACATTCCTTTCGAAATGAGAACATGGAATGAACTGCCATTCAAGAGTGGGATTGTCAGGTACTTGGTGAGAAAAGATGGTAACAAGGTATGGAGAAAATGGAGGAAACTGAATTAAATAGTTGTTTTATACTGAATGGTAAAGCAAGTTTGACCACCTGAATGGCCAACTCTTGATCCGATATCCCCTTTGACTTCAGCTTTGGGTGACCGTTTCTAAAATATGACACTTAAGACTGCAAAATTGCATTAATAATTGTTCATTAGTTTCTCTTTAGGAGAGACTAACTTAATGACATCAGTGGTTGACACAACATGTACACACATATTTGCTCTGTAGTTGCTTATTACTGATTTGCTTTTTAATAGTTAATTATATTTCTACTCCTAATACACTGTTCATCCATCGGCTCATCTCACCGGTTGCCGTAAGACAGTAGAGAATCTATCAGTTCGTGAGCTGAAACAACAAAGTAGCTCAGAGTCTTGAGCAGCACTGTGTTTTCCAAATAACAGATAATAATAATCCTTGCATTTGACATAGCGCCTTATCACATCTTCGAGATGTCTCAAAGCGCTTCACAGTGAAATGACTGTATATTTTGTAGGCGAAATGCGGCAGCCAATTGCGCACAGAGTGTCCCACAAACAGTCGTGGATTGAGTGACCAAATTATTATTTTGTATTCATTTTTTGGAAGGGATTGTTACACCCGGAAAAGCGATCCACCAATCGACTAACAACCGGGTTCCTATTTCCTGCTAGGTAAACAGAGGGTGTGGAGTAAGGAAACTTGCCCGATGTTTCACCAGGACCTCTCGCTTGAGAGGCGAGTGCTCTAACCACTAAACTTCAGGACTCCACAATACATTGATTTTAGAGCAGAAATCTAATCTCAGAGATTAAAATGATGGTTATAAGGCACTTGAGCTCCAGACATCCATCTGAACTCCTAAATTGGCTTGTTTGTCCCCATCTGCCAACACACACACACACCGATTACTTACAGCCATGAAATGATTCCATAGCAACAATCAGCTGAAGTAGAAGTAAGTTTCCCCACCACAGACAAAAAAAATTCAGCTCAAAACCAACTCGATCAAATTGTCCAGTCCAATCTGCAGAAAAGTCATTGCCTCACATTGCCAGCTATACTCTTGTGGTTCTGATTTAAATATTAGCAAATACTTTGTCCGCATAATTATGTGCTTCCTGTAACAAGGGCAAATGTTGCTAACAAGGAGATATTCTAAGGAGGTTTCAAAAATCAAACAAAAATCTATATTCTATGTGATTCTCATGCCGATATGGGCTTGGGAAAAATCTATTGTTTCTGGTCAAGAGATTTGGATAAAGCAACATTGCTGGAGGTACAGAGACACAATAATGTCACTGCGATTGGAATCCACAGGGACTAAATCCTCAACTAAACAACGCATGTTCACAACACACAGTGCCTTCGATTTTCATTCCTTTCTATACAAATTCTGAACAAAGGAAGAGAAAAAAAATGCACGCAGCAAGAGCAGTCCCAATGGAAAGGGACCATTTGTTGCGAGAGGAGAAAATTCTACCCCGTGATTCATGGATCAGCCACGGCAAAAGAAACACAAACCAGTAACAACAGGATTGAACACTGGGTCCTGTGGTGTGTTTCGGCATGAGCAGAGCATGAGCACTGTTTAATTCATTGTGCATCCCATTGCTCCCATGCTCTCCAAATTGCTTCATGCAGATATAAAGATAAAGCTTTTGGTTTCCTGGGCTCTTGAACAAGTATACACAAAAAACATAGCTGCTCTAATATTCCACCACTATAACAATGGTGGTTTCCTGGTTACCAACATAGTCGATCTTTTTATTGAGGAAAGTTCAGGTTTAGCACTGTCAGCCATATGTAAACCTTAGGTAAGTTTCCTTACTCCACACGCCTCTGCTTAACTAGCAGTAAGTCGAAACCCGGTTGTTACTTGATTGGCGGATCACTTTCTGGGCATAATAATCCCTTAGAACATTTTGTTTGCTTGTTTAAATAATAAGTTGGGTCACTCGGTCCACGACTGTTTGTGGGACACTGCTGTGCGCAATTGCCTGCTGTGTTTTGTTCACAAAATATTCAGCCAATTCACTTTACAGTATATTCTGTGAGGCGCTATAAGACATCTTAACGACATGATAAGGTGCTACAACAAATTGTGAAATTAGCAACTGGGTTTACAATGCAATCTACTGCATTATGTGTAAGCCACATATTAAACATTCTTTTGTTGGATGACTCAGATGGTAGCCTCTGATCAGAAGGATGTGGGTTCAAGCCAAAGGTTGTGACTTTGAGTTCATAGTCCAGGCTGACATTCCAGCACAGTACTGGTGGGTTGGTGCATTATTGGGAGCTTTGAGAGTCTAGAGTTCAATTCCCGGAAGGGCGAAACGTTGGGCAAGTTTCCTTACTCCACACGCCTCTTAACTCCTTACCCTACACGCCTCTGTTTACCTGGCAGTAAATAGAAACTCAGTTGTTAGTCGATTGGCTTTTCCGGGAGAAATAAATCTTTCAAAAAAATAAAAATAAATTGGTAACTCAATCCACGACTGTTTGTGGGACGCTGCTGTGCGCAATGAGCTGCTGTGCTTCGCCCACAAAATATACAGTCAATTCACAGTATATTCTGTGATGCACTTTGAGATGTCTTGAAGACATGATAAGCCACTGTACCAAATGCAAGGATTATTATTATTATATCAAGTGCAAAGATTATTACAGTGAACTCAGAAGAGCCCGGCAAAACAGGGCTTGTGTGAACATAGGACAGGGATAGGATCAAGCTCAACTCTGATGCCCTCCCTTTGTAGAATCTAAAGTGATGATGGGTGGCTACCAACTCTTGTTTCACACCACAACATGTGTCAGAACCTTCATGAAAGAAGGGGTGAGGAGAGACTTGGTGTGGGAGAGAAGAGAAAGTAAATCTATGTGAAAATAATGGTTACTGAAAAGACCAGGTTGTACGACGATTTATCTTCTTTCGAGGAAAAGATCACTGAATAAAAAATAGGAAATCCCAACAGCACAAACAAGGTTTAAAAGATACGCTACTCGGAGTATCTCTTTGTAGTTACGAGAGACTCAAAAGAAATTGTAGGCTGGACGAGAGAGGTAAGTGACTAAATCTGATATGCTCTTAGTGGGCAGCAAAGCTTCACAGTCATAGCATATCAGATTTAGTCAGTTCTCCTCCACCGAAAAAAGGCAGCTGTGATCAAAAGGCCATAGCTAAGTAGCAATAAAAGCTGGCACTGCTGGAATCACGCTGTAGGTCAATCTGAATTTGAATGAGAAAGTTGGTTAATGTTTCATTAAAGAACTCGGAGTTCTGACAAAAGGTCATACTCTAAACAGTAAATCATCTGTGCATTTCCAGCTATTTTTCGAGACTTTTTGGTTTCGCTTTGAAGTGGCAAGCTTCAATCTTTACATGGATTCAGTGATTCTGCCAGAATCACAAGGTTCTCAAATCAAAACATTGGATCAGTTAAAGGGAACGGATCTCCTGGTCAGAACATGTGCAAATGTTAACATGTGTAAATGTGATAAGTAGTGTCACTGAAAATCTAGAGATTTGGAATCTCTACATAAAGGGTACTACACAGGAATTACAAGGCTGAACGGGAGTGTTGGAAGTTCAGATATTGACACAGAAAATATAATAAAATTGAAAGCTTAGTAATTCCTTCAAAATAAATAATAATAATTTGGTCACTTCAATCCCACGACTGGTTTGTGGGACGTTGCTGTGCGCAATTGGCTGCCACGTTTCGCCCACAAAATATAGTCAATTCACTTTACAATATATTCTGTGAAGCGCTTTGAGACGTCTAGAAGACGTGATAAGGCGCTTTATCAAATGCAAATATAATTAATATTATTATTATGGGCATAGGCCAATCAGATTACCAACACTCTTTTGCATCAGTGACAATGATGCAGACAGTTTTTCTCAAAAGTAGAAAAAAAAATCTACACAGTATTTTGTTGCGGTTTAGTACACAAGAAATCTGAAAATGGCCAAAATGCAAACTGTAAAAGATGCTATCAAATAACTCCAAACCATTCGAGTTGTTTCAGCCTGAATAACTGGGACTTGCTCGGTGCAATAAAACCTTTAAAAACAAAACTTTTAACGTGTGGTGGGAAGATTTTGAATCTCTACATAACGGGCTCTACCCAGGCTTAGAAGGCTGGACAGTCAAATCTATATTACTGGAGCGTTGAGCAGAAATCTAGCTCTCAAATATTCCCACAACTGAGGTGGGGCAAGTGGAAGAATCATTTATTCAAATGGTGTTTGCTGTTTACCATCTCCACCGGGCACCAGCAAGAATCACTGCCAAAGACATTCGGCGAGGGGATGCTGCATTGTCGGAGGTGCCATCCTTTGGATGATGCATTTAAATCGAGGTCCTGTCTGCATGTTCAGGTGGACGTTAAAGATCCCACAATACTAGTGGAAACAGAAGCGAGTTTCTGTTGGTGTCCTGGCAAACAATTCCCCCCAAATTCACTCCATAGCTGTTTGTGGGACATCGCTGTGTGAAAATTTGCTGCCGTGAATAAGAACATAAGAACATAAGAACATAAGAATTAGGAGCAGGAGTCGGCCATTCAGCCCCTCGAGCCTGTGCCCCGCCATTCGATAAGATCATGGCTGATCTTCAGACCTAACTCTGATTACCTGCCCTATCCCCATATCCCCTAATCTCTCTATTTTTCAAGAATCTATCAGTCTCAACCTTGAAAATGTTCAAGGACTGAGCATCTACAGCCTTCTGGGGGAGTGAATTCCATAAACTCACTGCCCTCTGAGTGAAGAAATGTTTCCTCAACTCTGTTCTAAAAGGCTGACCCTTAATTTTAAGACTGTGACCCCCGGTTATAGATTCTCCCACCAGGGGAAACAGTCCCTCAGTGTCTACTTTATCAGCCCTTTAAGAATCTTATATGTTTCAATAAGATCTCCCCTAATTCTTCTGTACTCTTAAGAGAATACAGCCCCAGTTTATTTGGCCTATCCTCATAGGTCAGTCCCCTCATCCCAGGAACTAACCGAGTGAATCTACGCTGCACCCCCTCTCGGGCAAGTATGTCCTTTTTTAAATAAGGAAACCAAAACTGCACACAATACTCTCGGTGCAGTCTCACCAAAGCCCTATACAGTTGCAGCAAGACTTCCCTACTCTTGTACTCTAAACCTTTTGCAATGAACGCTAACTGCCGTTCGCCTTCTTAGTTGCTGCTGCACCTGCAAACTAACTTTTTGAGACTGGTGTACAAGGACTCCCAAATCCCTCTGAACACTAACACTATCTAATCTCTCCCCTCTAGAAAATAATCTGTTTTTCTATTTTTTCTACCGAGGTGAATAACTTCACACTTCCCCACATTAAATTCCATCTGACACCTACTCGCCCACTCCCCTCGCCTATCTATATCCCATTGCAATCTTTTTGCATCATCCTCAGAGCTTACTCTCCCACCTAATTTAGTGTCAGTAAATCCGCCTACAAAAATTCAGTGACGACACTTTACAGTAAATCCTGTGAAGGAATTTGAAAGGTCCACCCGATGCGAAAGATTGTAGTTATTTTATGTCAAATAAGGATTGAAGTTATTTTTTGACTTGGTTCACTCTTCCCTTAAATCACTGTGAACATAACAAATTAAGACATTGTTGATCCTCAGCTGACCTAGGTATGTAAACACCGTGTACCCTGTCAGATAAATAAATTGGGGAAATATATTCACCATATTGTAATAAAAATGTAATGAATGGTAGAACTTTTCACTGGGGTCAGTTCCTCTTTAGACTTATACGGCTATAAACAAGAACGTCAATCAATCTTCCTTTCAGAGTGAATTCCAGTGTATGTCAGAGGTGAGGGATTGTGGAGAACAGGTTGTGTTTACTGGAGTATTTTATGGCCGTAAACCAACCACATTAAGCAATCGCGGATGTGACCCTCCCTAATTTCAACATTCTTTATCCTCCTCGCAAAGCACGAGTGGGAGTGAAGAGGTGGCAGCAGTTTTCTTATGTAGTTGTAAATTTAAACCGAGTCTGCTTGTAATCTGCCCCAGAAGCTGACAGTAAAAAGAGATTTAAATAACGAGTAGTATAGTGAGGACATCACACTGTTGCATTGGACGCATCTCGTCTTTGAGAGTTCTCCAAAAACATGACAAAGCCCCATGTTTCAGAGCCTAAAACATTTGCCAAAGTATTTGCCTGGATTATTCTTGTTAATACAAAAACGATTGGTGCGATAAAGCCAACTAATTTGTTGCTACCTTTTCAGCCTGTATAGCATACAATGCACACTCCCCTCCTTTCTCTTACTTTCGTGAGTTTCTTTGCGATTGGAAATGCTTGAAGAAAGGTTTCTGAAATTGATGAGGCTTCACACGTGGGCGATTGCATTTTGGTTCAATTATTCCCAAACTCCACTGCCCGGATACTCTCCCGCAGAAAACTCCGTACCCCCATCGTGCCAGTCCTTGCCAAGCCCCAGTGGCTCCCAATTGCCGAAGGGATCGATTTCAACATCCTCTCACTCGTTTTCAAATCCCTTCACGCCCTCGCACCTCGCTACCTCTCCGACCTGCTCACCCCCCACTCCACCACTCGCTGTCTCCGCTCGGCTGTCTCCGCCCTCCTGTTTGTACCCCTCCACTCCACCATCGGTGGCCGTGCCTTCAGCCACTACGGCCCGAAACCCTGGAACTCTCTCCCTCAATCCCTCCGCCTGGCACCCCCCCTCCCTCCACGCCTTCAAATCCCACTTAAGGACCTTCCTTTTTCACGGTGCTCACAGTCACCTCCCCCCTCCCCTCCCTCTCCCCCTGGCTCCGTCACTCGAAAGTCAAGAGTCCGCCACTCGAACTCTACCCTGTGTGATGGACTCTATAGAAATGCAAGTTGTTGTTTGTGAGGCGAGGGGAGGGGAGGGGAGGGTTTGAAAACGCTCCGTAAGGCTCAGAGTGTTCGCAAAGTTTGTTAGTTTCAGAAGGAAGGAAAGAAATACAGAAGAGCAGCGCACCGCTAGTCCTCACCGTGACGACCAAGTGAGACAATGGCGTCCAAAAATGCGTCCAATTTGTTCCTAACTGATTCAAGCTTTGCCAAGTATAGTGGAGCCCTGTTAGAAATGCAGTCCTTGGTGGCCATAACATCGTACAGCGATCGCCAAATTTCGCCGTGTGTGCGCGCAATCAGCCGCCTCGCTCCCTGCGCACGCTGCCTGCTCCCCCCGCTAACGCCGTTTCCAGGTGGCTGCCGATCGCACTTCTTGTTCGCCGTGCAAGCACAGGGCAGGAAGCGGCGTTGAAGAAGGCTTTGTGTTGGCCACGACCTGATGCCCGATAAGGTGACCTGTTTTCAAGACAGGAAGCTGAAATGGTTCACCTCCCAGACCCCGTATACAATATGGTATAATAAACATCGTTTCTTCCCACTTCGATCGAATAATGTGGAGTCGGGCTTGACTCTCCTGCCACGGGCCCTGTGTAACCTGATCCATAACGGACTCGATTCAATCCATTCAATCTCTTTGAGGGAAATTTCCGCAATAACATCCCCTGATCCCTAAAAAAAAAAAACAGATAAACTCCACAACAGCACATCTCACAGTTCAAACCGGATACTGACTGCACAGTTAGTCATCCACTAACTCAAACACCAAATTCTAATCCGACCCCGATGCCCACCAACTCCTTTACAAAACGTTCGATCAAAATACTGTAGCACCAACTCCTCAATGTCCTTTGGAAAGTAGTTATCCTTTGGAGTTATCAAAAACCACCCACAATGTTCCAATGAGGCTTTGCTGGCAATCTATTGCAAAGGTACAATAATTTGTATCCCTATAGAGTAGTGGTTAACGCACACACCTCGCAAGTGAGAGGACGAAACCTCAGGCAAATTTCCTCATTCCACACGCCTGTTTACTTAGCGGTAAGTAGGAACCCGAATGTTAGTTGATTGGCGGATCTCTTTCAAGGGGTAGTAATAATTCCTCAAAAAAAATGTGGTCACGCAATCCACGACTGCTTGTGGGACACTGTTGCGCGCAATTGACTGTTGCGTTTCGCCCACAAAATGCACGGTCGATCCAATATATCCTGTGAAGGGCTTTGAGACGTCTCAACGACGTGATTAGGCGCAACATTAAATACAACAATTATTATTATATATTTAACTTGTGTCAACTTTCAGCTCTGGGCATGTTTCTTGACACTTGTGAGTTTTATGTAATTTAAGAGCATCATAAAGTATTCAACTTTATTCAACAGCTTACAATCAAATATTGATTGAGACAGTGATCGGGATGGAATTTTTGGCAATGTAATACTTGATAATATGTCACACTTTATATTCTGTATTTTTAAAAATACAAATTTGGACTGCTTACAAAAAGGTTAGGATCAAAATAAATGAAAGTGAGACAAGCTTAATGGGGATGAAGTCAACTTTTTATATCTTGATATCATCAGAAAACAACAAAAGGAATCCTTGAAACTGCCAATAAACATTAAAAGTGCTTTACATACTCCTGTGTGGAATTAAACAAACTGCAAAAATTGCTTATGTTTGGGTTTCTTGTTTGCTAAAATAATGCTGTAATATTAAGGATGTTTTGCAGATGTCCTGACCAAAGAAATTGCACTCTGAGTTTAAAGTACAGCTGCGAATCCAGACTGACACCTCAAAAGCATAAATGCTGCTCAAGTTCTGAAATTGTCCTCATTAGATTCTTTGAGACCAAAGGAAGAGGTTAGTCATCACAAGAGGCTAAACACACTGAGATTATGTTCCCTCTGGCTAAGTAGCCTAAGAGGTGATCTGACTGTCTTTAAAATAATAAACGGGTGTTAACAAGATAGAACAAACAGAACAAAGGGACATAATCTTAAAATGAGTGCCAAATAGTTTAAAAAGTGAAAAGAAAACCATTTCTTCACACAAAGGGTTGTGAGAATGTGGGACGAACTGGCCAGGAGGTTGTGGTTGTAAAATCAACTGATTTGTTTAAAAAGGTAATAATAATAATAATAAAAATAACCCTTGCATTTGATATAGCGCCTTATCACCTCTTCAAGACTTCTCTGAGCTCTTCACGGAATATACTGTAAAGTGAATTGACTCTATATAGATCGATATAACTGGGTAGATCTCCAGTTATCCTTCCTACTCCAGATCTGGTCCCTGACCAGGACTACCTTCCTCCACCTCTGTCACATCACCCGTCTTCACCCCCAGTCTTACTCCAAATGCTGCTGAAACCCTCATTCATGCTTTTGTCATCTCCCGCCTCAATTTTCCAATGAACACCTCAACCTCTCCACTATGAACAAGCCCCGGATGATACAAAACTCTGCCACCTGTGTCCTCACCCCTATCGGAAGC